TAAATTTTTTTCTTGATAGGTTGTGTTCTTTGTATATGTCGATAAATCCTTGTTCTAATAGGTATTTGATGTGTATAACATTGGGTGCAATTGAAAGGTGTTTTTTGTGATTGCTATATTTGTCCAGGCTTGGATTACTTATTGTATTGAAGTTTTCTACTACTATTATTTGATAGTTTTTTGTTTTAGCTTCATTGATCCATTGTTTCATCTTGTGAAAGGTATTTAATTTTTCATTGTTAAAGCTATGTGCTGGAAAATATGCTCCTATAATTCTGACTTTTTGTTTATTGAAAAATCCATATCCACTGATAGGAGTCATCCTTGATAGTGCTAATGTTTAAATATTCGTTGGGCAAGTCGATGAGTAATACTGATGCCGATGCCAAGTCCTAGAATTTGTGTTTCTTTGTGTATCCAAAAGGATTTGTAGTTATGATATGTTCAATTTTTGAGGATTGTGAAGTGCCATTTGTTTCTGTTATAATAATATGCCAATTATTGATATTGCAAAGTTCAAATCAAGAATTTCTTTTGAGATCTATTGAGATGCTGTGAATATTGTGAGTGATAATTTTCCAAAGGGGTATATACTGTATGTAAAGATAGAGGGTAAAATATTTGAAATGGGGTTGTCTATATTTGATGTATTCCATATAGAAGAAAGAATGTTATTTGTATTACTCATTGATTAGAAGGAATTTAAAAAGTGTCATCATTGGAGGGGGGAGCTTGGATGGCTGCCAGTTTGGAGAGAGATAATGTGATTGCATTCATGCTATCTGATAATCTATTGAGTTGTCTATAGATTTTTGCTTGATCCTGTCTAATTTCCAAGACCGGACTTGATGCTCTTCTTTTTCTGGAGGTGTTGGAGGTTACACTCATGACTTCTTTATTGATTGATTTGTCATTTTTTTCATCTTGTGATTCGCAATCTACTTCATATGTATAGTAGTAGTAACTGTTATCTTCAAGGTGCCCTATACACTTGTCCATACTAATAAGTTCAAATTTGATATTCTTAATCTCTTGTCCTATTTTTTTGATAGTTGATAGAATGTTGTGCAGTGAGATATTTTGAACATTGTTGGTGAGGTGTTTGGTAGGATCTGTTGCTATAATATTGATGGAATTTGTAGTAGTATTTCTTTGCTTTTCAATTTTAGCAAAGGAAGGTTTGGTATGATCTCTTTATAAGATTTGTCTCTGTGAGTTGGTGAAATATCCACTGAGTTTGTATCTGTTATAAAGATGCTCAAATTTCTTGATATTTTTTTGTTTTTTAATTTATAAATGTTGTTGCCTGTTTTGAATCGAACAGTCTTTGATCATGTATTCAGTGCTGGAACATCAATTGCATGCTTTGGTGTCTGTATCAATCCAAATGAGTTTAGTGTTTCCAAGTTTTGCAGGAAAGATCTTGGCAGCTTCTAGGAGTTTGTCTATTTTGAAGCTAAGAATAGCAAATTTTTTTTGTTGGCATTGAGAGGTTCTTGGAATATAACATGTTTGGGCTTTAGTTTGATCAATTATTTCTTTGTGATCAAAGCCTGCAGTACTTAGGAAAGGTTGGCTAGTTTTATTGCTTGTTTCATTCTGTTTTGACTTGATAGGTATTAAGGAAGGGGTAGATACGAATAAGGTCTCCTTTGAAAGGGATTGCCCATCTGGTTTAGATTTTCTCATAATCTTCTTTATTTTTGTATGCTACTGTAGCTGTTTGCCACATGCTGATTGTTTGCATTTTGAGAGATTGAATTTCTCCAAATTTGGTAAAGGCTATATACACTTCATTATGTGTGACATTAAGTGGAATATCTCATACTCAAATACATTTGTTTTTGGCTGCAATGCTATCATATATGGGTGTTGCTGTCATATAAATAGTGATATTATCATCGATGATAAGATTTTCAGCTTTATTTGTATCTTTTTCATTCTCAAATAAAGCAGTGATCAGTTTTGCATTTCATGAATTATAAATCTTGATGTGTAAAAAGGATTGGAATTTGGCAAGGTGTTTTGCTAAATTTCAGATTTTACTCTGGTTGTTTCTACCAGGAACTTCTTCAATAGGAATTGTTCGTTCAAATCTTTTCCTCCCATATTCAACTTGCCAGTCAGTTGGAAGTGGCCCTGCAGTGGGCTTCTTGTCATCTATTTTGTTTTTTCCCTTGTCATAGTGTTGAGTTTGGTGCTCTGTTTCTTCATACCAATAGATTTCAGAGTTTGTTTCAGAGTAAAAACCTCTAGGAGTAAAGAAAGTGTTGTTTTGATCATTTGTGTCATTGTATTCAATATTAAATATTCTGTTTAAGGTTAAACCAGTATCTGTTTGTTTTGCTGGGATATATGTAGTGTTATTAATAATAGCTAGGAAGATAGCTTCTACTCCTTCTTCCTCTGTTTCTTGAATTTCCATTGCAAAGTTTTGCTAGTTTTAAGTATGACTTCTTGTATTACTTGAAACTGTGTTTTTGTTATGTTGTTGTTGTTGGATTGTTTATGTTATGCTCGAGTTTTGGGTAACATGGTAACTTGGAAAATTTTTTACGAAGCCAGAGAAAAATGAAGAAGAAATTGCCTAAAAAGAAAATTTTCTGAAAAAAAAAGGATCTACAAGAAAGAGTTTTTTCCCTCTAATAATTAATAATTATATTGATTCATATATAACTATATAACTAATACTTCAAAAGTATATAAATTATGATAGAAATTTTCTATACTTTATTTGAATAGAGTACTGCAAATCTACTATAGAATGAAAACTTTGTAAACAATATTATTAAAAGGACAAGCAATCTAAAAGATATACTCAAGTATAATTACTTTTAGATGTCTTACTATCTGAACTATCAGTTAAAAATTAATACATAGACCTAATTAATTGCTATATAGATTAATTATTTAAAGAAATCACAAATCTATTTACAATTTTTTTTTTTTTTTTTTAATTTTAAAACTAATTGGTCATTTTTAATATATTAGGCTTTACTGCAAGTATAACAAGTTATTAATAAGAAAGATAAATTCATCTTTAGATAGTTTTATTTGTATATTAAAAATATACAAAAAATATAAATACATAATTATATATATATAATAAATTTTTCTTATAAATAAAATAAAGATAAGCTACAAGACTGTTACATCCATGTGATCAGGAAAAGATGAATAAAATCACCAAAAGTTAATCCAGTGAGAAACTAATTTATGAAGAAAAAAGACTCAAAGACAAGAAGTTGGAAGAAATCCTATTAAATGAAGTAAAGTATGATATAAAGTGGTTGGGGTTTTGATCTCTGTCAGAGCTCAAAAGAGTGATCTGCAGTGGTGACCTGCGGGCAATGATGTTAAAAGTTGGAAGGGTCTTCATCTGAACATCTAACGGAGTGATAAATCACTCCTGAAGTTGTACTTAGAGAAGTAATACAACCAAAACAAGTGAGTTAGTTAGAGATTTAACTTTAGCATTTTATTTAATATGTATAGCTTACAAATATTTAATAAAGCATACTTAACTAACCTGACAGAGGGTTAAAAAAAAAATAAAATAAAATAAAATAAAAATAAACTAGTTTATAAAAAAAAATAAAAAAATCTCTAATTTAATTATATATGCTTATATTGGTAAATTAGAAAATTTTATTTTTAAAATTATAATAATTATTTAAATATTTATATTTAAAACTATATTGTAAACTTTAAAATAATTTATTTATTTTAGTTTAAAAAATCTTAATTTAATATTTGTTTAAATAAAGAATTTATTAAATAAAACTTAAATATAATACTATAAATAGTATTAATCAAGATAAAATATATTTAAAAGTTTAAATAAAAAGTATTAAAGTATTTATATAATCAACCAATTCTTAAAGATTTAATTTTAATATATAAGTTAATATATAGTATATAATATAATAAAATTAAACTAATATATAGTTTCAAATTATTTATATTATTTATATTATTTATAATTATATTTCATTTATTCAATTTCTAATCAGATCTTTCTATTTATAAAGTAATTACTGAATCTATTTAAAATAATTGTAATAGAATATTATTAATTTATAAATATATAAAAATATATATCATATATAAAGATAATTAATACTACATTAAGAATTTGATTATTCATAAAAGCTTATATTTAATACTAGTTATATTTAAAAAATTAAAAAAAAATATTAAATTAATTTAAATAAATTAAATAATCTATTTAAAATTTATTCAATAAGTACTTCAAATTTATGAAATAATTTAATAATTGATTCAAAAATTTATAAATTAATAAACAATTAACTGAACAAAGAAAATTACAATGGATTTAATTTGTAATCAATTTTAAAAATGGATACAATTAATTAAAAATAGTATCATTGTTTAAAAAATGACTTCGAATTTACTTTAAAAAATTAATTTGTAGTAAATGGATTTATTATTATTTATACATTTATTTTTGTTCTTACTAGTTATTTTAATAAGAGAAAAAAGTTTTTGAAATTAGAGAAATGACTGGAATTACAGGCATACACGTACATTTAATATTTAAAATATTTTATTTTCCAACAATTTTTTCATTAATTTAATTAATTGAACGACCTTATTTACGAATGAACCACTGAATTTTAGTATATAGATCATATTTTACCTGATATTTGAATTTATAATTATTTTATTTACACGACTTTAAAATCAAATACCTTGTAAAAATTGCTGTAAATTATCAAGGAAGTTAATTATAAAATAGATGCGCACGCTAGTTATCATAGACATATTTTTATGTCCAATGAAAGCCTAATAATACTCACTAGATATCGCTTATCTTTTGATTTTCGAGAATCGATTTGGAATGATGATTGTGAGTTACCTCTATTATTTACATTTCTACATCACTGTAATGTTATGAAATTAAATGAATATAAACAAAGAAATAGTATGTATATGCAAAAATCGCTCGACTTCCGTTAGACTATGTTCATTAGTATTTTCTAATTCGTCGCCCGCATTTCGTCTACATTCTCTGCTCGTCTTATTGATTTTGGTATAACGGAAAAAATCTCAAGCATATCAATTCGAAGATTATTCCACAATTTACGCTTCAAATATGCCAACACCTCTGAACTACTCAATTCTAACCAATTTAATAGATTGATCCTGTCTGCATCCTTAATCTCTGATAACAGTCGATTCGAGATGTCGAAATCTACTGGCGAAGTTTCGAATTGAAAATCGAATTACATCACAAAATCCACAATCCCAAAACTGATCAAAATTATCTCAAAATTCTTGTTCAACTACAACAACTCCAA